GGACAAACGAATTAAATTCTTATACTACACACTTATAAAACATTATGTAAATTTTTGGTGCTCTTCGGAGCACTTAATTTTACATGACATGTTTGTTTACATCTCATCCTTTATGTCCAAGATGGATTCCGTCACGTGTAACATTAGGTATTTCTAAGAGTGTATACTAGCGGCGCTGGTGGTGTATTGGTAAGCATGACTCAGTCTAGTAGGCCAATCCCAGTCGGCGCCGCAATGTTCTGAGGCACAACATCTTTGATCACACCTTCGTTCGCAAGGGAAGTAAAGCCGTTGGTCTCCGGTTCATGAGTTTATGGGTCGATAGGTAGGGTCCAGGTTTGGGAGCTGCCTCCCTGGCGTCGGTCAAGGAAAAAAAAAATAAGTGTTATGTTGTTGTATAGTTCTGATAATCCACTATTGAAATGACAATTTTAATTTGAAGATGTTGGTTATTTTCAAAATGATAAATCTTTGTTGAAATGTTTGATTTTTCTGTATACTGTGGTAATGAATGTTGAAATTTTTCAACATTTAGCTTCTGTTTCTTCGGGCGGCCCGCGCCAAGAACTCTGTTTCCCTTTCGAGGAGCCTTCGCTACTTCCGGTGATGAACCACCATTATCACTATCAGCTGATTCAGGTTTGGGATCCGTTTTTTTCCACCACTCGATAATCGAATTATTCTTTCGCTTTTTGAAAACCATTTTCGAACTACGCGCTTTCACTGTAGGTTGACTTCTAAATCAACGCTTATTTTTAAGCAATTAGCTTACGCATACACACACTTGAATTGTTTTTATTATCTAACAATTACACGCGTATCCAACATGATTTAGGAGTACATACTCTCAATGTAGCATTATTTTTACTATTTCAAGCATTTTCATCAAGCAGTTCTTGCGATAACGCATAGATGACATTGCCGAAAAGTTATTACATCCATTTTCAATTATCGATAATTTTTTTAACGGTGCCGGTGGTGTAGTGGTAAGCGTGATTACCTCTCACCCCAGCAGGCCTGGGTTCAATCCCAGTCGGCGCCACCGGGATGTTCTGAGGCATAACATCTCTGATCACGCCTTCCTTCGGATGGGAAGTAAAGCCGTTGGTCCCCGGTTCATGAATTGATGGGTCGATAGAAAGGGTCCAGGTGTGGGAGCTGCCTTCCTGGCACGTCGGTAGCATTGGTGCTCAGCACGGAAAACAAGATCGACGGAAAAAAACAAACCAAAGGAAAAAAAAATCGATCATTTTCGCAGAATATTTCGATTTGAATTACCAAAAGATATTTTAGTCTTCATCAATTATTGCGAACGAACTGGTGGTTTTTCTTGCTAACACGCAGAAAAATGGATTTTTGTTTCAGGATCTAATGTATTTTGTTGTTAATTCAAACATATTGTATCACTATTTCAACAAAACATATTTTTAAATCAACAAAATGGTTTTTAGAATCAACAAAATGGTTTTTAGAATCAACAAACAGATTATTGACTCTACAACCGGTTTGTTGTTTCAAAAATATTTTTCTTTGAACTAACCGAATAATATATTTTAATCAAAACCAAAAATATATTAGGCTCTTAGCAAAACATATATCCATTTGAATTTAAAAATCATTTCTCTGCGTGAATTCATTGCATTCATGGTTCATGGATCGCCCTGTCGTGTGGCTCCATATAGGTGTTCTAATGTGTCGCAATTTCCTCGCCCATATTAGATTTGCACCGTCGGGGTTAACCTCAATCTGATGACAGTTCAGTGGTACTGTTTACGTGGACTTAGTCAATTTTTTCTTGGGTAGATTTTCTGGATAATTTTTCAGATTGCAGTGAGATGTAAACCTCGATGTAAACCTCGATGTAAACCACACTTTTGCAATGTCCACGAGCAACATCCTTTCACCACGCATTTCCTCGACAATTTTCAATTTAAAATTCGGAAATTTGAATGTATATATTTTTCGGAAAAACGACTAAGTGCTTGTAAACAGTACCATTGAACTGTCAAAAAGGTTCAGCCGATTAACACTGAGTTCATTTGTGACGTCACGCTGCAGAGCCTAATTAGGTTTTGCACCGTTGGGGTTAACCTCAATCTGATGACAGTTCAGTGGTACTGTTTACGTGGACTTTTTCTTGGGTGGATTTTCTCGATAATTTTTCAGACTGCAGTGAGATGTAAACAGCATTTCTGCAATGTTCACGAGCAACATCCTTGCAACGCGCTGTTCCTCGACAATTTTCAAGTAAAAATTCAGAAATTTTAGAATTTTTTTTCGAAAAAACGACTAAGTGCTTGTAAACAATACCACTGAACTGTCAAAAAGGTTCAGCCGATTAACACTGAGTTCATTTATGACGTCACTCTGCAGTACCTAATGTTATAACCACTAAAGAGCCTGAATTTATAAAGAGACGACATGTCAAAATTGTAACAATCAATTATCTGTCAAAGTCATATATTCTACACAGAAAAAAAAGTTGTTGAATATTACATCCAAACTGCTGCAACCAGGTCAATCCATCGGTTGTGTAATATAACGTTGTACGATGTACATCGATTTTGCGAACAAAATTACATCCATTGATGTAATATTGTATCTGCTTTTTGCTATTACATCATTATTTCATACATCAGCTTGAATTACATTGATCGATATTACATTTTTTTTTGCTGTGTATAGGAAAAGTCATTCCAATCGAGCAGAAGACCTGTCAGATGGATAAGATGTCGTCTCTTTATAAATTCAGGCTCTTTAATAACCACCATAGTGTGACTTTTTTCACTTCTGTGTTTTGTGTGGACGTTCCAAATCACTGTGTTTTGTGCGGCCGTTCCAAATCAAATCACATCTTCCACCAGTGAAGACTATAGTCGCTATATTCAAAGTTTGGTGGATAGAATTTCGATCTATTAAAAAGTGGAACCAATTCAATATATTTTAGACCAACAAATAAAAAGGTACTATCAACATTTATAAACAAACGTTGATTATTCTTTCCACGCCAATCAATCGCAAATTACCCGCATCATCGGTTAGGGGAAACTTTCCACAACCCGAAGATGGTATTAGCAACAGTATTAGTTTGCGTAGGCGAGCCTTGAGTCACGAGAAAATGGTTTCCGACGTTTTGTTCGCAATAGCTGATGTGCTCTTTTCTGTTGTTAGTCGTGATTTGCTCGATTGGTTCCGCTATTTGACAGCTCAATTGGTTCCCGAGATTCTATCCGCCAGACTATGAATATAGCGATTATAGTTAAGACTGCTTACGCATATATAAATACATGCAAAAGCTAATTTTTTTGCTTAGGAAAACAAAATCTAATGCTTAGGGTTTGCGTTACAAAAAAATATGGTTTTTTTTTTAAATAATGCATTTTACAGGTATGGAGTCGCTTTTTACGCGGGGGATACGTGCCGCGTAAAAAAAACCGCGTAAATTCCAAAATCCGCGTAAAAAACCATGTAAAAAAACCGCGTAAAAAGCGACTCCAGTGTATTGTCTTCGGAAGAAATGTTGCTGACAATATTTTGAAACGATCTACGGAAGTGAAATATGACCTTTCATACGAAATACTTGTGTAATTGATGAGCAAAGTTAGCGACCACTATGATAATGGTCCTAAAATTGAATTTGAAAATAGTTTTCAGAAAATTTAAACAATAAATCAATCTTATAATAAATTAACCACTTCATTCGAGCAGTTAAAATGACGTTTACTACCACTAGAACTTTGAAATAAAACGTTATTTTGAGATTTTTTCTTCTAGAACCGCGAGAAAAGTAGCCAACATTTGTGCGTTTCATAAAAAAATAGAAATTAGTTGGTCCAGTATTGTGAAATCGCTGGTAGAAAGTCACGCCAAAACTGCAGTGGTCAATTAATTATATGATTTGAGTAGTAGCTATACTGAAGATCCGAGAGATGTCGCCCCTTCAGTGGTAGGAAAATCATTTTTGCAGTATGGAGAATATCAGAAAATCCACGATTTGTGACTAAACATGCTCTCACAGAAGGAAACAAATAAACGAGTGTTTACCTTATCACCATAGTAATGTACTCGTGCAATTTTTGTGCACCTAAAACTGCCCATAAAGACGATAATGAATTAAAACTGAAAATTTTCATGCATTTCCAAATGGTTTCCTACCATTCCCATACATTCGAAGTGACTGGCCCTCTGGATGTGGATGATGTAAAAAACAACAAAACATGATTAATTGCTAGAGATAACAATTTTAGTTCTTTAACTTTGCACGGAAGAGTTTTTTCGATTGAGAACATTGCGTTATTTTGTAAAAAAAAATCGATGAAGTGAGTCATTCTAAACCGATCCACTTTCACTTTAATATGCACGCAGTGTCGTTCAGATTAACGGGGGTCCACGGTATATTAGACCTCATAGTCTAGGTCCTGTCGAGGTAATTTTCATGTTTGCCAATCTACCATTAAATAGTCAGTACTTATGTAAGCTATGTAAGTACTATTGATTTTAATCGAAAACTCTTTTTGATGTATTCGATAATTTTAGGCTGTATGGAACATCTTTCGTTCTAGCACTTAAAAAGATACATTTTGCATCTCAAATCAACCAGAAATCTTCTGGGAAGTAAAGGCTTAATCCAACGACGGGTCCGGGACGATTGTTATGAGTGCAGGCAGCGATAAACAGGCTGTGCCGGAAAGTTCGAGTGATTCCATAGTGCCTTTCTCTATACGTCCTGGAATGAAGAAAGAGCATAATCTTTTGATTGCTGCTCGTTATTTTCACATCCGAGGAAACGGCATTCATAGCAAAGGCATTCGAGGAAGTTACATTCAAGTTAATGTAGCACAATCGTTTTTTCATACCCATTTTATTAGGCTCGCACCTGAAAATTGAGTGAAATTACCACTTACATTTCCATTTCCAGTGTTTAATTAAATTTTGACCGAAACATTTGTTTTTGGATTTTAAAAGTTAATTTATCACAATTTATTTATGTACCATTATAGGATGTTACTCATTGCTCGGATTCCATGATGAACTTAGAATCTACTCGAAGGAAAACAAGTTGGACAACCGTTTTGCTAGCATAACTAAGATGAATGCTCCAGTAATGCTGATAAATTTGTTCAAAGATCAATTGGTATGTAACTCATATTGTTCGGTTTATTTTTTTTTTTATCGTGACATTGTGTTTTGCAGATAGTCTTCACTGCTGACGGACATGTTACAGTTTTCTCACTGCTAGAAGATGATAACCATCAGGTGGAGTTGGAAAAGATGCACATTTACGACATAAAAAATGTGTGCATTCATCCCGCTTGTGTTATTTCTGTTTTGATGACGAACTTAAGAAACGAGGCTGGAGTTAAGAGCACCTACGACAACAGTCTTTCGGAAACATTGATCTTGAACGTATCAGGTCGCGTGCTGATGGTACAAACTGATTACATAGGAAATGCAACATCACAGTTGGCATCAACATGCTTGGCTTCGTCGGTAGAATGTATCTGGGTGTCGGATTCGAACAAAACTCATATAAAAGAATCTCTATGGCTTTACTGTGGTGGCCACGGAATGCGTGTTTGGTTACCAGTTTTCCCTAGAAACGGTGAAACTGGAACTCGAAGTCACAGGCATACCTTCATGAGCAAGCGGATAATGCTATCGTTCACGTTAAAAATTTATCCACTTGTGATTCTTTTTGAGGATGCAATGATTCTTGGAGCGGAAAATGATACGGTACTATACACGAGCGATCCATCGGTTTACTTTTCACTGCCATATTGTGCTTTGAAAAGAACGGTAAGCCTTTGCCTGGCTTTGAATGAAAATGTATTGATTTTTTTTTTGTTTTTTTTCAGAGTCAAGTCTATTTGCATCAAATTCTACGTCAATTGATCAGGAGAAACCTTGGATATAATGCATGGGAAATAGCTCGATGTTGCACGAACCTTCCATATTTTCCTCATTCACTCGAACTTTTACTACACGAGGTGCTTGAAGAAGAAGCAACCAGCAAAGATCCTATTCCTGATGCCCTATTGCCGAGTGTGTTAGAGTTTATTCAAGAGTTTCCTGTTTATCTTGAGACAGTGGTTCAATGTGCTAGAAAAACCGAAATTGCTCTATGGCCGTATCTATTCTCGAGTGCTGGTAAACCAAAAGAATTGTTTCAACAATGTATGGCCGCGAAACAATTGCAAACCGCTGCTAGTTATTTGATTATATTGCAAAATCTTGAGCCATCAGCTGTAAGTCGCCAATATGCCACATTATTATTGGACACGGCTTTAGAACAAAGAAATTGGTCACTAGCTAAAGATTTGGTACGCTTTCTTCGAGCGATTGATCCAAATGACGTAGAATCACCCCGCTCATCATATGTCTTCGGTAACAAGTTTGGAATGAATGCTGCCGGTCCATCTGTGTCACCGAACGCTGAAGACTTGAGTCTCATTTTGGGAAGCAGCATGACTCGGGGTAGAAGTTTTTCCACAACAGTTAATCCAAAATCAAATGATACATTCAACAACGCAACCATAGTTAATAAGGAGAAAAACATTATATTCAACAGTTCAAGCAGTAACAGCAATGTTGATACCACCGTAGTACAAAAAAGAAAGAAAAGTGTGCCAAATACTCCTAAGGAAAGGTAGGTTGCTTTAATTTGAAGGATACAAAATATACTCAATCCGATTTCTATTTCAGAGATTCATCAAGTGCCGAAGATTTTTTTATAGATGTCATCTTGCAACGACATGCACGGCGCTTCCTGCAACTAAAAAAACTGGAGGACTTAGGCCGTATGAGTGCTACGCTTGATTTTCATCTCGTTGGATACTTAACGCGAGAGAAGGACCGGGCAGCAAGAATAGAAGACTTCGTAACGGCTCTTAGAACTCTACACGATGAACTGGACTGGCCAAAGCCATGCTTAGATCTTAGTTTAATTCAAAATGGTCCCACTTCAAATCAACCAGAGTCTCCTGCTTCGAATATTTCCAACAAATCGGCTTTTGACGTAGCTCAACGAACTGAGGATTCTGGATATAATAGTTTATCTATCAACAGAATTACCGAAGGGGTAATGAATGGAAGTGGAGTTGACAAAAAAGCACTAACCGATCCATTGATTGCTATGACGTTTGCCAAGTTAGAAGAAACTACAAACGATGGAAAAGAGCTTTCATTTATTGACACTAAAGAAGCTAACTTATCCCCCATGAACGACAATGTCAGTGTTCGATCCGATCATGTAGTAACGAATTGGGCTGATGATGGTTGCAACTCACTAAATCAGGAAATAGAGGACAGTTTTAACAGAGCTATGGAGAATATTTCCAAAAATAGCAGTAGTTCTAAAAGAGAACAACACAAATTGGAGATCAAAATGCGCTATTTGTTACAGATCTTCACCGAGGCCAATTGTTACGAGTTTTCATTGTTGCTATCAGTCCTTTTACTGGATGTGGCGTCAGTTTGCAGGATAACAAACGCTGCGATAAGATCAAAGTCTTTGGTTGTTTGTCGGCAACTGAGAAACGGATTGAAAGACATGACGAGATGGAGCTTTAACGAATGTTTAGGCTATCGGCCATTCATGATTGCTTTGCAACCTCAACTGGCTGTACTTGACAAGTTTGTGATCCAGCAAGAAGCAATTCCATCTCTGACTGCTACAACCAATACTAGTGTGCAATACAAACTGCCAGTGGGACCGATTCCATCGGATTTATGCGTAATTCCAGAAACTGGATCGGGATCGGTGCTTTCTGTTGCTACTGAAACCAACTCTCGCAGTCGTTATCAAAGCACTGGGACGGATAAGGTGGATGCAAGAACGCGTCATCTGTTGGACAAGAAAAGTAATACAGTACTTGAGATCAGTTACAATAAACGTGATCGATTGGCTAGCGCCAGCAGCGGCGAAAATAATACTAGTTCTAGTAATTCTAGTGCCAACATTCCTAGACATGCAGCAAATTTGGTTAGGTCTGTGTCAGATTTGGAGGTTGAAAACATTCGAAAGATGGCGTCTGGGAAAAATGGTGACCGAATTTCGGTAGCATCGATGCCAATTAGTGAGGAGCCTGAACGAGTCTCTGGCTGTGTACTGATGTAATCGGAAATAATGAATAAAGTTTAGTTGCAATTGTATTTATTCAAAAGTTTTAACCTAAGAGGATAGCTCACTGTTTACATTTCCACTCTCAATCTGTACTCATTTAATTAAATTGATACGCAATTACTAAACATACGATCAAATCAATTAATCCGAACCATTTTTGCTATTCTAAGCATAGTGAATGCCGTTTAAAGAAAGGAAACTCTATGTAAGTACACTCAGAAAAACAAAATAATCTAATTAGTATAAAAGCGAAGACAACAAATCAAGAAGACTGGCAACTTTGCCAGAATCCAAGCGACAGGTACAATGGCGCTGCGCTTGAGTGAAGGTCGAAACAATTCAACTTTTTTGGCTCAGCTCTGGTACTCTCTTCGGTCCCAAGCTAATCGATGCACCCCTCGAAACATAGGAAATTTCACGAACCCCTCATTTCAAGCATAACATTTGATAACGGCACAAAAGCATGTGTAAATAAGCTTTCTAAGGCCCTATACACGCGAACCAAAGTACGCCCACGCAAACCAATACCACTTTCGGAAAGGTGATAGTTGCCCCTATCCGATGATGTTGTTGGTTTGACTGAGCGTACTTTGGTTCGCGTGTAAAGGGCTTTAGAAAGTTTGTTTACAAATTCTTTTGTGCCGTTATCAAATATTATGCCTGATTTTATCTTTCAAACTTTCATAGCGAATCAAAACAAACTTAGTGTAGTACTAGAATTTCGACTAGAATGGGGTACGCTTATAGATCTACTTGGGACCAATAAATAAACTAGTCAAGTAGTGAGCCAATTTAAAACCGTTAGTTACATACGAGTGTAGACGAGTTATATAAACGACCGATAAAACCAGCTCAAATTTGAGTTTCGTTCACTCAAATTTGCAAAAAACATAGGTTAGGGGGGCATAGGACAGATTGATGTTTACTCAAATTGACAACCACAACATACAAGACATAATCCAAATTCATAAACAATTTACACCAATTTACATCAATCGGTTAGAGGTTATTCCTTGTTGAGTCCGCAAATTGCCGCTACGCAGGCCATACATGCACTTCCACTTCAAATTTTCAATTACACAAATCTCGGAAATCAGTGCCCAATTCCTCCCGAAATTGCTACTTCATGTATTCTGCAGTGCAGCAAACGAACCTTCAAAAAAAAAATCCAATAAAAATACAATGATTTTCATTATCATTGTAACCATGATATTTACTGTCAAAATATTGGACATTTTTGTCCATTACCATAAAGTCACAACGAAATTCATGGTTCATAACATGAAAATAATGATATTTATCATCTTAACAATAAAACACTGATTTTTCTCGAACAAATTTGATCTCATCACACTAATGTTCATGGTTTGAGCATTGTATCGTTAAAAATCGAAATTATCTTTTTCTCCCGTACAACAGTTTAACGATAAATTTTAATGTACTCGAAATTCAACATTGTAATTTCTTTGTTTTATTATAATTATTTTTTTCGGTCCACATATCGGGTGAGATCTTTCCTTTATTTTTCTATTTTTTTCTTTTAACTTTTATTTCATTATTATATGAAACATTATAAGCTGGGTACGGGACGGTCTGCAGCATTCATTGTAACGTTGTGCGCTTGTTTGTTAATAGTTTTTCGTTTAAATTAAATTAAATTAAGAATTAGCGTCACTTTTACTTTAGTTTTTTTTTTCTAGAAATGAAATATTTCATCCGTGTATATAAGATCAGATTATCCCTGTGTCGAAGTTACGACTTTGCTATAAAAACTCGAGCATACAGTGAGCCGTTAAGCAATATAACCATACACATTTTATTAGGGATGGGTCGCCATGCAAATGGTTTGTCCTAGGGTTTAGCGCAATTTTTTAAATAAATAAGTGGATTTTTAAAGATGACCTATTTTAAAAGGCAAAGGTCATTAAGATATTTTTTTCTCACGGAATTAATCCGACTCGTCCATTTTGCTTACGAATGGGCTGGAGAACAGAAGTGCGCCAGTGTTCTTACGTTTTCAAGTTTCAGTTAGTTGAGTTTAATACGTTAAAGTTATTCTAGAAGCTAGAAGGTACAAGCAAAGAAGAATACTAAGATGAAACAGTCGAATCAAATTGATTGCTCAAATTAACTTCGTCAGAAGGGGGATCAAGAGGTTGCCCTTTTCTTTTGCGCTTAGGCGTCATGGCGGCAGTAAATTTTTTATCCAAATCGACTTCCAAGCAGATTACTATAAGAAACTCAAGGATCGAAGAGGAATTTTTTTTCTAAATTGATATCCAAGAAGGATTACCTCGGGTAGGGTCCAAACAACACTTAACCGAATTTTGTTCATATCAAAAATATAAATGTTCATTCTATAAACATATGAATAATTCAAAATAAATTAAAAACATGTTTGCAACAAAAATATATATGTTTGAATTAAAGTCAAAAGCATGTTTATTTCAACAATATAGCAATTTGAGTAAACTCTAAGTGATTTTTAGAGTGTCCTGCCTTTTTTTCCTTCTTGTTTACAGTCGGAAAAAATTGCCCCAGCTTTGCCAATCAACTGAAAACGGCCCGCAGCAAAACCGAAGTCATGAATTTGGAAACCCACCTAGGGCTGATGTCGATCCCTGTATCATCCTCCTCCACAACATTGACGTCGGAAGAAAAACAAAATCCGAAATGGATTTTGAATCTATAGAAAGAGGCACAAAGTTTCGCTGGTTTTACTGAACTGGAACCTCCGGACATTCACCCCGACGGGTCCCCGCATCTCGGACCAGGACCCCAATATCAACAGCCCACCCTTAATCAATCGCATTCGAAAAAGAGCAGGAGTTTAGATGCCCTGTCTGCAGATCGTTTTTCATCTCTTTGCAATCCATTTTTTGCTTTAAATTTCAAATGCTAATATAATTTAAAATTAAGGATGTTTCTTTCAAACATAAGAAGCATGTTTAAAATAAACATAGGGGAATTTACGTATTCTCATCAATCTAAGCAGCATCCGGACTTCTATTGGTAATTTCTCAGCGTCACATACACATATGACGGGTTTGTTTATTGACATTTATCTGCTGCTTGCTGTTCTATCAATTCCAATCGACAGAATTGATCAAAACGGGTTGAACACGTTTTTACAACGCTCCAAACTTCTCAGGTGAGTGTGACTATTGCCGGCAGTCTCTTTTTCTTCGGCACCATTTCCATTTGAACTACGTGTTAACCAGCTGTTCTATTATCGGCAACTCGAAATCAGCCGTATTTTGTAGTGTGTATATTTCATTTAAAGAAAAATCTGGCATAACAGGATTGCTCAGTCGTAAAAATGTAATAAGATTGAAGCTGAAAGAGTAAGGAATCGGTTGAATACATTCAGTGAAGAGTTTTGATGGGAAAATACAGTGAAATTAATGTTTCAATTTCGATTGCCGAAAACAGTCAATGGGTGCCGAAGCCATAATTTACCCTATTTATTTTTATTCGCATAGTTGTCAAACTAAACAAATATATTCACGCTTTCAACACGAATATTTTTAAAATAAACGTAACATTATTTTTATTTTAAACATTAATATCACATGACTTCAAACATGGAATACGTTTGAAATAAACCTTGTTTATTTTTGTGGCCAGAACAAACTGAGTTTACGTTTAAATTTACCTCAAATATTTTTGCTTCAACGATAAATTTTTCTGCGTGAAGGATCGGTAGAAAATTTACAGGTATATTGAGCACTGAAAAGTGCTGTTTAAATTTTTTGTAGCTTTAGGTGGTAGTAACACCGACAAACCGACATGAATGACCATAGTAAAAACAATAAAATTTCTGACCAAAGCACACTACTGACATCTGACTCCGTGTTCGCGAGAAATATTTAGCTATGTCATGAACCCGCATGCAAAAGTTATGAATTGGTTCGTGTCTGATCTATTCTGGACAAATTATCCTATGGTTTTGACAGTTCGGATCACTGCACATTTAAATCAGCCGTTTACGATTTTCGGGCATAAGTCAGAATTAAGTGTCATGTCGGTTTGTCGGTGGTAGTAACACTTCCTTCAGCAAAAAGCAAATAGATCCGCACGGCAAGAGAGCACGATGCGGACTCGGCATTCCTTCTGTTTGATTTCCGCTTCGTTCGGCGTTTGAATGAATCAGATTAATACGTCGTTATATAATCGTACTTGAAATTCCTAGAACTCTTGGCGTTTCCATGAAGTTTGCTGTTAGATTCCACCGACCGTTCGAGAGGTCCCCCGAGGAAAAGTCTCTATCTGTCGGGTAAAATTCCAAACGCGACCAGTGGTCTCTCTTAATCAGGGTTACTTCCACTCACTTGCTATAAAAAAATGTTATCCGGAATTATGAAATCATGATACAGTATAGTGCTAATTAGTACTTGTAAGTTACAAGAAAAGGTCATGAAGTAAATTTTTGACACATAAAATCTGTTAAAATTGCTTTCAGTGCGTCACAATCAGCGGTTTTACGACTCGTGAGCGCTCACTCTGAGTGAACGTTCACGAATCATAAGATCGCTAATTGTGACGTTCTCAAAGCAAAATTGACAGGTTTTATGAGTCAAACACATACTTTACTACCTCTTCTTGTTACTTACAAGTACAACATAGCATTATTGCATCTAATGATTGCATAATTCCGAATAATATTTTTTCATAGCAAGTGAGTGGAAGCAACCCTGCTCTTAATCGAGAGGGGCGCTTAAGTCACTGTGTCTCAATAAAACCTCGAGTAATAGTCCGAACGGTTACATCGTGATTATCGGGATTTCGAGGAACACCATAATCAGGAAGTTTATATGTACCGCGCTAGTATAATTTTTGCTACCTCCTAAAGGGTGTATTCGATAAAAAGAGCACACACATATTTACTTGCCAAAATTCAACCAATTGTCGGATTTTCTTAAAATTTACAGGGATTTTTTTTCCTTGATTTGATTTCCGTCGATCTTGTTTTCCGTGCTGAGCACCAATGCTACCGACGCCAGGGAGGCAGCTCCCACACCTGGACCCTACCACCTATCGATCCATCAACTCATGAACCGGGGACCAACGGCTTTACTTCCCTTCCGAAGGAAGGCTTGATCAGAGATGTTATGCCCCAG